AGATTGTGCAAGAAATAAGAGGTTGAAATTAGTGTACTAGAACCACGACGAAAGATTCACGCATAAAATATGCGTTAAATCGCTGTGGTAATGAATTATGTATCTTGGAAGAACGATGCGGATTTGTCAAAATGTCGGAGATGAGATCTTCAGAAAAGCGGAACTTGATTCTCACTCACCAGCAAGGCATCGGAAAACTTCTTGACAGCTTTACGAGACTTGATCCCGTCCACATGAGACACATCATTCAATTCAACACTTTCCATAGCCGACATTTTTTTGGTCCTGCGAGAAAAGAAAAAGGAGCACGGTACCTATAGCCTACTTCTTGGGGACCCAAGGGAGTTTCATACACCAGCGACATCTACAAGAAGGGAACGGAACCGAACTACTTTTTCATCACGTTTCGTGCTGTAACACCACGGAATCTCAGTTGTTGAAAAAAAAAAAAAAACAGCAACGATTTTTCTAAGTTCAGCAAGTCGAATCTGGATTTCTTCATGGATATGCACTGACAATTTAAGCAAGGACCGTTAATTGACCACCAGCAACTTCGTTCATCAACCAAAACTTTCTTTTGACAATTGTGTGGACTCGCGTACATGAAAAATTAAAAAATCTGCACATAAATGAAGGTACAAATATTTTGAATGTGATCAGGTGGTCCCTCAAAATTATAGGTAATTATTATTGGAGCAGGGACTTCCAAAATCGGCGATGACTACAAATGTGATGGCTGTTGAAAAAATTGTTAGAATTCCTTGCAGAAATTGTGGGCGTGTCTTCAGAAAAATTCCATTTTAATTTGCTTGATTCTTATCGAGAAATTCCCTGCTTAAAAATTTGAGAAGAAAAAATCCCTGGACTTTCAGACGCTGTAAATGCGCCAGCATTGAAAACATTTTTTCGTTGTTTTTATGTAAATCCTTTCAAGACGTGAACATTCGTTCAACATCAAAATATTTTACTAAAAATTACGCGCCAGTTATTTTTCCTGGCTTTCATGGTCATTTTCGGGTCAATGGCAACACATCCAAATGCACACATTTCAAATTACCTTTTTATGCAGAAAAATTCGAAATCAAGCCCAAAATTGGCATCAAAGCTTTACCTCGTGGTCCACACGAAATTTTTCGTTGACACAAAAACATGAAGGAATGTTCATCACCGATGCGTGGGACTCAAATTATATCGTTTTACAAGACTTGTAAAAAAAAAATTGGCATTTTGTAGATTTCTCTACGGCAAATTCCCCTGGGTTCCCTCTCATAACGCGCGTACAATGGCACCTCGAATAATGGACACCTCGCATAATGTATGCTCCACACACTGGACTTCGGCTGCCACCAATTCTAAATTGAAAAAAAAGAGGATAATTGACATAATGTTCAGTTATTGTCTCGAATAAAATTTCTCATTCGCGAGAATTTCTTCGGCAAGCAATCGTTTACGAAACGAATGAGAGCTTTTTTAAATTTTAATAATCTCATTTGCGTTCAAAATACTGTGTAATATTTTTCTCTCGTTTTTTCATCATATTGGAAGATATTTTACGTTCAACAGTCGTTTCTGCAAGATTCTACAACGGAAACTTCCAAGGGATCTGAAACGGAGTAGGAATTCCCTTCGATTCTATATTACTCAGGAGGATTCTGAACTCGGTCAACAGACTTTCGGGATATACTGAACGAAACACTGCAACGCATCGAGTCCATTAACCGGGGCACCACTGTTCAAAGCTCACACTAACCCTTTCCACAATGCAAACGAAAAGCTTCAAAAAAAGCAGAACATCTTCACTCGTGTTAACACTTTCGAGAAACATCCAAAAAAAAAAGTCGCTACAAAAATAACCAAGCGAGGAATACAAGATCGATCCGACAGACAAGCCAGACGGAATGGGGATCACACGGAAAAATTATACAATTTTGCTCGTTTTTTTTCCTTCTTCTTTTCGCAAGGTCAAGTAAAAGGTCACTGTTTGTTGCACGGTTGAAGGGCCTTGCGTTCTCGAAGCACTCTCTTCAAATAAGGAGGGATCCCGGGGGCCTTGAACGTGGCCCGGGCCCGGATCACAGCGATTTCTGCAGCTGCCTGTTCCCGCAACTGGTTCGTCAGGGCTTCGCCCATCATGCGCAACTTTTCTCGCGTGGCCTTCTTCACGCAACCAGTCACATGGGCCCGTTTNGGACTTCTACTGCAGGCAAAATAAACTCATTTGCAGAATTGTTGAGCCACTGAGACCATTTCATAAGAGAGAAAGCCACAAGAGATAATTTCAGGCCCAAATGCACTGTTCGAATGTCACTCAGGGAAAATTTTGTTTTCCTGAACTTAAGAACACAATACAGTATTTGTAATCATACTGTACTTGGTATTACACATAATATGAAGCATTTGGTGTTCACATATTCGATATAATCGAAGAAATCGCGGTGAGCTTCGGTACGATTATCACTCGCTCTTTTGGTCATCGCGGCTTGGATTTCCGTACACCTCCTATATTTCCCGGTTTAAAGGTCGCCATTTTCGTGGATATGACGTTTTGAAATGATTTTTTTTCGATCAATTTGTACACATTTCGGGCACTCTGAATGTGAATCACTGCCGAATAAATGATTGTACTCACCGGAAAGACATCCTCTTGTTCTCCTTTTCCGCTCGCGCTTTGGCACGCGTACGCATCACACCGCTTCTCCAAATGAAAACTTCTAAATTATTCACCATTCACACTCGATGCAAGAGATTTTGGGGTCAATGGGATTCTGCGGAACTCAAATTTCAACATGATGAATAGGTTTTGAACACACAGATGTAGGGGTTTTCTCAAAAGTTTCGCGAGTCTCCCACAATTCTTCATTGCAGTTGGACGAAACACGACTGAGCAATAAAATTTTCGGGGAAAATTTCAGACAAATTTTTAGGATCGTTGTAAAAAATCGTGAGCTTTCTCATTTCTAGTCAGTCCTTCTCCTCTTAAAGTTCAATATAGTTGGTTTATTTTACGTCTCACGTGATGCACTACATTTTCTTTTAAACGAAATACAAAACATCTTAGTTTGAATAAAAAAAATTAAACGATGCATCAGCCCACAATGAATAATTGTCGAAGAACATACGCAAAACCCCGGTAATGATACAAAAATAATATCGCGGCATCCAGAAAAAAAAACATTTTTATCACGTAACTTCTCTCCCCTGCAGCAGAACATCAACCAAGCGACGAAACAGGGTCTTAATCGAAGTGTACCAAGCAAAGCCTTGATCAAATGCTCCCACAGGAAAGTTTCGAGATCCGCAGGCAAATTCCTTCGGGGTCACGATGAAATCTGGGATCCGAAACGTCGTCCTTCAATGGACTGACGACGAATTTCACTGGCTCGAACCGCTCGCATCCCCACGGGTTCTGGCACAAACTGGGAGAGCAACTGCACGGGTAACCCTCACTATCCACCTAAATATAAGCAAAACACAAGAGAAGCCGGTTCTTAAGAGCAACAATCCAGCATTGTAGTGTCTCGGTCAATGGACCATTCCTAAGCGAAGTACCACGAAGTCTAATAAAGTACTGCACAGTACTGTACAAAATTGTGAGGAACATTCAAAAAAATATACCTCGAAATCCTCCCGCGACGCATTTGCGCTAACTGATCAATATTTGCTTCAAGGGAGAAACAAACCAATGCGAATTCCTACAGGCACTCGAAAAAATTCCAAATGTGGATGTAGGGTCCTCCACTAAGAGAGGTTCAAGTTATCGAGGCTCAATCGCAATTCACTAGGAGTACTGCACAGTACTAAAAAATACAGGGTTCTGGTCATCATTACTTACCAAGCAACAGACTTCCAACATAGAACATAGGCACTTGTCTGGCTTGCAACCGCCCTTACAGTCACAACCGCACTGCTTGCGGCTTTCAGCGATTCGTGTATTTTCCAAGTCAAGGAAGTGATCGAATTTCACTCCAGCTTTCCGAAGCAAAGCTCTTCTTCGGCCTTTCGTCATTGGCTGAAACATAGCGACAAAATATGATAAGGAATCATGCTTAGAATGACAGACAAAACAGAATCACTCCAATCTTACTCAGTGTATCTAGAATAATCTGGTGAAGCTGTTGTGTAATCATGTTTTCGCGAACCAAAGAAAAAAACCGGTCACTGGGTGCTTTCGGTTCCAATGCATTCTTGGAATGGCATTCAAAAGTTATGTGTAGTCTCCCAATTATATTTGCTATTGGATTTAAAGATTTCGAAAGAATCAAAAGCAAAAACGGGGAAAACATTTGCATGGAAGAACACGTAATATTTACCATGATGGATTTCTGACTAGGAGTCCTATTCACGAATTCTATCGCGGAATCTTCGTCGACAACTTCGATATTTTGCTTGACTTCTGTGCTGCTCTTGAGAAAAGCGCTGGCAATTTCAGAACATTCCGCAGGAACCGTTGATTTAGCCAGCAGA